GATTTGCTATATTTATTGAGTAACAGAACTCAATATCAAAGATGTATTTATTGATATAGCCACTGTGAGAATAAAACTTCTTTACATATATATATATATATATATATATATATATATATATATATATATTTATATTTAATCCCAAAAGATGTGAGCTGAATATTTTACTAAAAGTTATCTTTTATGTATTAGAAAAAAGTTGTTCGGCGCGACCACGACGGGATTTAAACATTAAATTTGGTAAGATTTTCAGGAAGTGCTTTATATATATATATATATATATATATATATATATATATATATATATATATATATATATATATATATATATATATATATATATATGTGCGTGTGTGCGTGTATATATATATATAATATTGTAAGATTTTAAATAGTTTCTTAAACCAATCAATGCTGCCTGCTGTGGAGGATTATTTAACTGAAGAGTCTCGCAGACTCAATTCGTATGTGCATTGTGTACAGGCCACAGGTAGGCCAAAATATGCAGATTTCCGGTTAGACATGCCTTTGTGTAGACAGGTTTCAGAAATCCTATTCAAATCGCATCGATTCTCTAAAATGGAAAATTAGTGGGGAAATATGGTGCAATTTTAAAATATATTAAAGCCTGGAAAAAATTAAAAAGCAAGAAAATAACAAATGAGTTGGGTACAGTAATAAAACGAAAGCCTATACTCTTCCCAAAAATAGCTAAGTTTTACATATATTTTAACGGGTATCCTTTCGAAATATATATATATATATATATATATATATATATATATATATATATATATATATATAACGGGTGTAACAGCAAAATTGACACTGTTTTTTTGTTTAATTTAAATCACCTAACATAAACTTAATTGTAAAGCCATATTCCGTAGGTTTAGATTAGTTTTACGCAGTTTGAATGTCTATCTTCAAATTATTCATTATATCATAATTATCCTTCGTAAAACACATCTATTCGATGCATTGGTACACATCATCAGTGATATTTTTAGCCGAGGTTCATTAGGGGTTTCGGGTCTTTCAACATCATATCCCCCACTCCACGGTGACCAAAAATAACAGATCGTAAGAATTACATTATTTACCCTGTTCAATTTGAAAACAGGATTAAGAGACATCGTGAAAATCGAAGGGGTTTGACCAATTTGTAAAAAAAAAAAAAAAACTAATTAAGACATGCGTGTCCGTCAACCTTAAATAATAATCTTTGTCAATTTTATTTTTTTAGTCTTTATGATGGTGGATACTTGATCTATCTCTTACTGTTATATCCCCGGGCAACGCCGGGCTCTACTGCTAGTTATTAATATATGGAAGCAGTACTTAATTTTAGATCTTATTTGGTTCTTGTAAAGGTAGAGGATAGATGGAGAGGGTGAGGTTCTTACTGGGCCGGTTCGGGAACCGGCCATGGTCAATAGTTTGGTCTTTGTGGCATTGACTTTGACCTAACAGTTTTCCTTAATGAGCTTCTAAAGTTATGTATTAGGGGAGATCAACTGCCAAGCTCCAGGGTTTGGGAGGTTCAAAATATTTGAGGCTTATTGAGAAATCACGTGGAAATACCGTTTTCCGTGCGATCCTACGAAGTTAATCCATGTCGAGCGTGTTCAGTAACTAGATGGGTGATCGCATGCGAATATTAGGTGCTGTAAGCTTGTATTGGCGAATGGTGTAATAGATAATGGCTCAGAATGACAATTTGGAGAGTTGGGATCGTTATATTTACTTACGCGAAGCTAACCTTGGAAAAAAATATTAATCCACCTTTTCTCACCCCAGCTGTGGATTAAATAGTAAGACTAATATTTGAAAATCAATATTATCTGCAAAAAATTTAATATAATATTCACTTGCAAAAAGAAAAGAATTTTACTTACAGTACAAAAAAAAAACATCTTCCGCCTTTAAATAACCTACAAAAGGTTGATAAGCTGTAAAAAAAAAATCAGCCAAATATTCAAAGAATTTTATTTTTCTAATTCCCCAAAAATGCTTCTTGTTCTTGATAATATAAATAAAAATATTAATCCAGTTCATTTTACTGTCTATCTTTTTGAGCAGAGTCATTAAACTATCCAATATTTTTCAAACAACCCGAAACGTATTAACAGTTAAGAATGTTATGAAAAAGAACTTCAACATTTTGAAAGGTTACTTTACGAAAACATTAGTTAGACATCATTGTTTACGCTTACCAAATTCTTAGAATCAATTTATTTGCACAAAGTTCGCCTATCGTCCGGTTCATGTCCGGCGTGATCGTTTGAACAGCCGTAGGGGTTTATTCCTTGTTTCCTGTTTAGGATTAGGTTTCCGGTTCCTTCTAAAGTCTTCTCATTCATTTTCATTCCCCGTAGCCGCTTGTCTCATAGTGCCATTTCTTCTGCGAATTGATTAAAAACATCTCCATATCCTATCAAGTTATATTGATAAGTGCCAGTGAGAAACTGAAGGCATGTCACTTACAGGCATTTTTCGTAATAAGCTGATTCTTCGAAAGCTATGCACAATATGAAAGACATCTGTTAGAATTATAGTCGCTTGACCGCATATTATCAACTGACCGATGATAATTCGACATGATTCTTATTACAAATTTATGCCATGACTTCTTTCTAGTAAATTTTCAACCGATCAATAATGTTAATGTCGGCAATCAACAGCAACGAAAACAACAAAATAGAAATAGTTGCAGCGGAGAGGAATGTCTGGGAAATTGAAATTCGAAAGGAACAAGAGATTTGAATGTTCAGAGCCGAGCAAAGGTTGGACAACATTCATTTTCCTGTGAAAAAAAAATACAGGGACTTGACAAGTGCCCAAGTGTATTTATTTGATCTCCATCTTAGAGTCAGCATGCAGGAGCATTGTGAAGATAGCATCTTAGACCTGCTTGAAGTCAAATATCATGAGAGGAATTGTAAAAAAAAATAGTAATTTTAATGCAAACCATAAATTTGAGAAATAATATCGTGTTAAATCTTAAATAAATTTTACAAAAACGTTGAAAGGGGATTAAATATAATTACTGATAATGCAATGAGTTTTATTTGTGGAGTGTCTCGTTTTTTCTGACGAAGCACACCTTACAAATACAGCCAATTGAACAAGCAATATATATATATATATATATATATATATATATATATATATATATATATATATATATATATATATATATATATATATTAGCTCTATCTCTGATATTGAGCGCTTTCTAATAAGTACCGCGCATATATATGAATAATTATATATATATATATATATATATATATATATATATATATATATATACTAGCAGTAGAGCCCGGCGTTGCCCGGGAATGTAACAGTAAGAGGTAGATCAAGTATCGACCATCATAAATACGGAAAAATAAAATTGACAAAGATTATTGTTTAAGGTTGACGGACACGCATGTCTTAATTAGTTTTTTTTTTCTTTTTTTTTTTTACGAATTGTTCAAACCCAAATTCAAACAAAAACATTGTTTACAATCGTTATGAGTCTATCGATTGGTGAATAGAATTTTATTATAAACAATTGTCTTGTAAATGGAATTTTTAAAACATTCTGAATGTAAATAAAGAAAAAAGTGTGCAAGACAATAAGAAGTACTACCTGCCGAAAAAAAATGGATGTTTGTTTTATCGGCTGAAAAATGTAAGAAATCCGATCCCATATATAAAGGCACACACACACACACACACACACACAACCTGGGTTTTTTTACCTAAGTCACTCCACGGAATCGCTAAAACATAGAGCATAGTCTGATGAAAAAGACGCTAAAGTTTATGAAAACAAAATTTTATCGTCAAAATGCTTATGTTTTTATGAAGAGGATAGACTAAATTTTTTTTTAATTATTTTAAAAAATTTTTCCATCTTTTTAGAATATTCTAAATTTTGATTTAAAAATCCTTGTTTCTCTTTGTCGCAACAAGGAGTAGTAAATAACAGATAATTTTTAGCGCGTTTTTTGTATTTACACACATTAAATTGGAAAATCTTGCAAAAATAAAAATAATTGTCAGATGTTAATGAAACTTTCAGAAACTATTCACAGATGATCGAAATTATTATAAATATGTTTTTTTTTATTAAAGTTATGGCAGAAATATTTTTTTATATTTATTAACACCCCCGTAACTAATTTTATGAAAAACTCTAGAAATTCGAGACCATCGGTTTTAGTGATTACAATAGTTAAAAGCACAAGGCTTTGAAGAATGCAAATCATGTATTTTTTTTTGTTTTTTTTTGGCCAACGTACCTGAAAATCAGCTGTGAATTGTAACATACAAAACTCAATAAAACAAATATATTATTTAGTTTCAAATGCTTTCATTTGTTTTAATTTGTTTTTATGAATATGGACAATATTTTCTGGAAGCAAAAAATTTTTTCAATGAAAATTGAATTTTTAATACAATTATTTCTTATTTCTTTAATTTTAAAAAGATTTTTAAAAAATGTTTAAATTGAATTTTAAAAAAATATTTTAACATTAGTTAAATGCTACATCAACCTTTCAAAATATCCGTGTGAGATTGTCATTGTCTAGCGCTTTGAAAATTGTATAATTTGCACCAATCAGATTAGCCATGGTAATTAAGAAATGTAATTTTTGTGTTTATAGTCGGACAGTAATTATCAAGTACGGAAGACTAATCAGAATACAATTTAGTTGTATTATTTGAGTTCAGCATTGTTCTCCGCTGTTAAGCCCTTTACTTTTGCGAAACACGTATGGAGAAGTTAATTTAAGTTTTCAATTTCAACTGAGAAGGGTATCTACAAGTAACAGTATCATCTTATCTGCTAAACTTTAATTTATATGATCTTATTTTTATATTAATTTCAGTTATGACATTTTTCCATAAATGAAATATCAAAATTAATAATAAAATGAATGGAAATACAAATAACACAGTAAAATGTAATAAATGTACATAAAATTATAATATTTTATGTATAT